CTGAGGAGTGGCTGGTGGGTTTGAACCGCCAGCCGTCTGGTTAGCAGGCAAGTGTCTTAGCCACTATGCTACCAGAGCTCCTAGCAACAGGGTTAACCACTAGAAAAAAGTGGGAAAAGAAAAAGAAAAAACCTTACATTAAAAAAAAAAAAAAATTTCAACCAGGCACAGGGAAAAAAAAAAAATGTTGAAAACTAGGACTTGGGAAGGGATGATTAAGAATAATAATAAAAAGGACAAAAGTATTAATAATATTAGTTGTTTAAAACAGACAAATACAAGCAGACTAATCACCAGAAAAAAAGAAAGTGAAAAAGAAAAAAAAAAAATTTAAAAAGAGAAAAAAAAATCAGTGGAGGACAGAGCCAGGCACCTAGGCTCCGTCTGAGCACACAGACTGTGATTGAGTTCCTGTGGGCCCAGAAGGTAGGTGGGAGTGGGGGATGGCTGCATCTCTGTTCACCAAGCGGGTGTGGGGTATAAGAGTAACAAGAGGAATGTCGTACCTTTTCAGTCTTGCAGGTTCAGAGGGTCCTTGGGGTTGCTGGAAACAGAACATGTTCTTAAGCCACAAGAATCTGCAAGAGCACTGTCTCTTTAAATATCCAAAATAGTCAAGCCGCTTTTTAAATCTTCAAAATGGCGGTGCCCTCCTGACCAGCAGAAGTCCACAGCTTAGCCCACCTTTCTCTTCACCTTCTCCGTTTGTTCCCCAGCCACCATGCACAGTCCTCCATACAGTCCCTGGCTAGCAGGGTGATTTTTAGGTTAATTCTTAGGATCTACCACCACTTACAAATCTCCAAGCTATCTGTGCCGTCAGGATCACTCAGGATCACTACCAGACTGCAGCTCTGTCTGTCTCCTTTTCTGGTATTTTCACGCAAATTCTTCTGCTAGTTGGGGTGTAGTCCACTTCTATATCCTTCCCTTCAAGGCTCAGGGGTCCAGCATTTTCTTCTGTATCTGTGTTAATTGGTTTCCCTTTTCTTTGTTGAAGAGGGTCTGTGCAGTCTTTCTGCCTAATCCACCATCTTGCCAAATCTCCCCCTCCTTCACCTTTTGTATTTCATCTCTCAACCTCTGGCATTTGGTAGCTGTCACCAATTCCACATCCATGGCAGTGCAGAGTTCATACAATAGAGACCAGGCTACAATGGCAACCAGTGCCCAATAATCCCATTTTATTATCTCTACTCCAACCCCCTGTAATATTTCTAGCAGTCCCTGTGGCAATTTTAGGGGATCCCCTTACTCTTGTGCTTATCCCCAGCTATCTGGTAACCTAGCAACTGATCCAAACTTGCTGCATCCAGCCATCCCAGGATTCCCACTGGTGACACTCATGTCCCCTTCATGAGGTCTGAGGCCCTTGGGGTAAGCATTATGGTCTCCTGGTTGCTGGCTTGCCAGTTGTTCTGGAAATTACCAAGGGAAACTCGTACCAAGGTACGAGAAGACCAAAACATTTACCTAGAGGTATGCTCAGAAACATAAGAAATTTATTGCAAGGAAAGTAAGAGCAGAGTAAAAGCAAAGAGTTTACAAAATAGGAGCTTGAAGGGAGCTTTCAATATCTGCTGATGGCAAGTGGCTCAGTGGCGGCAGGCTGGTCCAAGTCCAGGTAATCGCTGACCCCCTCCCACTTTTCTGAGATATTTATGCCTGGGTTTGAGGAGCTGGGAATATGGGTTGCATATGTTTCCAGACAGGATGGTACCAGATCCAGGCTTATAGGGGCCCTGCACAGTGCCTTGTGACTACCACCTGTGCTATACTCTGATAAGATGTTGCCATCAGTGGCTTAATAAATTTTTAATTGCTTTTTAAAAGGGCCCTACTGGCCTTGAGGAGGGGAAGGGAGATAAGTTAGCAAACTTCTTTCTTGACCAAACAAGATAGAGTCTGGGAGCCATGGGGGCGGGGGGGGGAGGGGGCTTTGGAGCTGTGCCCCATGCATAGCCCCATACTCTTTCTTTTCATCCCCTGTCACAAGTTCAGATGCATAGTTTACCCAAGTGTTAAAGGCTTAGTGCATGGTTCAAATCACTTTCTCCTTGCCAATATCTTGCAATGCATCCTGTGCACAATAAAAGGAGTCCACAGGTGGTACAAATTGTTAATGTGTTCCACTGCTAACTGAAAGTTTGGAGGTTCGAGCCCCCTCAGAGGTGCCTCAGAAGAAACGCCCCTGCAGATCTACTTCTGAAAAATCAGCCATTGAAAACCCTGCAGAGCACAGTTCTACAGTTTTACCCTGCACACATGGGGTCTTCCAGAGTCAGAACTGACTTGACAGCAACTGGTTACTCCTTATGCATAAAACATTATTTATTCTGTGGGTAATGAAGATTTTCACAATGCAGTGTATCACTGGAGTACATCTTCTTCATTAATATTGCAGAACCCACATTGTCTCCATCACGCTGAAGACCAGGATGGCTTAGCTTCTTAAATATATGTATAGAATTCTATTCTTTTAAAGACAATGGACCTTTAACAGAAATTTATTTAAATGTTTTGTATTGAATGGAATGTATGCTCCTTTTGAGACATTTTAAATGCATAATCCAAAGGTAGTAATGCATACAAGCTTGACAGTGGACTCTGTTACAACATGCTTAAAAAAATTAGCCAAATTCATTTCTTAAAATGTAGTTTTTATTGTAACTACACATAGTCTGAGTGACTTAGTAAACCATTCAAGGTTGTATTTCTATAACATTTGACTAGCCATGCTTAAATTAAGAACTATCAGTTAAACAAAGGCCAGAAAGAGACCAAAACTAAAATAAATAGCAAAGAAAGAAAATGAAATGAAGGTAAGTGAAAGGGTAAACCAACTGCTTTGGAGTCAATTCTGACTCATAGTGGCCCTATGTGTATCAGAGTAGAGTTATGTTCCATAGGGTTTTCAATGGCAGATTTTTCAGAAGTTGATCTCAAGCCTTTCTTTGGAAATGCCTCTGAGTGGGCTCAAACCTCCATTTTTCCAGTTAGCAGCTGAGCACGTTAACTATTTGCACCACCCAGGCACTCCACTGAAAAAGTAAAAGGATGAAAAAAATGTATAGAAACAGTAAGAAGACTCTCTGTGTCTTCCTGAGGAAAGCTAATACTAAACAAGACTGATCATTGTATTTATTATAAATTCATATTAAAATATTCCACAATTAGACAAACAGAGTATGGGTACAAACAGTCAAGCATTAGACTATGAGCTCAAAGGATGACAGTTTAAGTCCACCCAGAGGCACCTTCGAAGACAAGCCTGGCAATCTGCTTCTAGATGATCACAGTCTTGAAAATCCTGTGGAGCACAGTTTACTCTGTACACACAGGATTGCCGGGAGTTGGAATCGACTCAACAGCAATTAACAATAACAACAACATGGGGCATTTATTTAGCCATCCAATCAGCAAGCACTGGAGCCAGGGCTAGAATACAGATTTGACTTGTGAAGCTGTGTTCTTGTCACTGTGCTCAGATCCACCTCTATATACACATAGGAAAACACTTCTTTTTCAGTTCTGTTCTTTTCTATGCTTCTTTCTGGGAAATCTTTGAGGGCCTTCTGTATACCAAACTCATGTGAATATTTGACATCTCTTAAATGCCAGTTGTAATAAACAAAAAGTTAAAAGTATTTCTGATAGATAACTGATGACAGGTTCTGGGCCTTGAAACAGTGGTTGACTGGCATCTCTTTGAACTCCTAGGAGCTGAGGTGACATACATGAACATGACTGCCTACAACAAGGGTCGGCTGCAGTCTTCCTTCTGGATTGTTGATAAACAACATGTATACATCGGCAGTGCCAGTTTAGACTGGAGGTCACTGGGACAGGTAATCTTTTCACATTATATAAACTACCAAAAATACCATTTCTATAAGGCACTCAGGCACCTCTACTATGGTTGAGGGGAGAAAAAAGTAGAGCTCTATTAGTTTAAGCTGTATACTTTGAATAGATGAAGCCATTTGCATAGATATAATGTGATATGATAAATCTTTATCAGAATCATCTTACCAAAAAAAAAGCTATCAATGCTTTGGAATTCCATTGCTTCTCTCCCAGATTCTTCAGAGCAGGCTTGTGTATCATTTATATTAATTAGTCAATTGCTATAGAGTTGATTCAAACTCATGGTGACCCCATGTGGGCCAAGTAGAACTGTTCCATGGGTTTTTTAAGACTGTGACCTTTCAGAAGCAGATCACCAGGCCTGTCTTCCAAAATGCCTCTGGATGGATTTGAAACACCAACCACTTGGCTAGTAGTCAAGTGCTACCCAAACCTAAATTTCCAGGATATCACATAATTTATGAGACAAAGGAAACCATACAATAAAGTCAGGAAAGAAGAGGGGAGAATATGTTATAGAATAGTAATAATTTGAGTTATCCCTTTAATAAATCTTGAGATGAAGATGTTATATCTTTCTCTGTATAAGTAATTAACTTCAATTAACTTGATAATCTATTTGGAAAACCTTATAATTTTCATATATTTATTGGTGCCAGAAGTGACCCACAGAGTATTACAAAATTACCATCTTCCCATTGGCCAAACGATGGCATGGAGTTCTTGACCACTGGGTGCATGAGAAGACTGGCCAGTCTACCATACATACTACATTGCATTTTACTTGACCTTTTTAAAAATTAAACCAAAAAAATGATTGTCAATTTGATTACAACTTTTGGCAACCCCATGTGTTTCCAAGAAGAACTTTGCACCATAGGATTTTTAATGGCTGTAATCTTTCAGAAGTAAATCACCAGGCCTGTCTTCTGAGGCACCTCTGGGTAGATTTGAACCTCCAACATTTAGTTAGTAGCTGAGCATTTACCCATTTATACCACCAGGGACTCTTCTGTTAACAATAAACCAAAAAACTAAGCCCATTGCACTGAGTCGGTTCTAACTCATAGCCACCCTATAGGGCAGAGGGTCCTATCTATGGGATTTCCAAGGAGCTCTGGTAGCTTAATGCCTAAGGCACTTGACTGCTAACCAGAAGGCTGGCGGTTCAAACCCACCAGCCACTCCTCGGAAGGAAGATGGGGCAATCTACTTCCGTAGTGATACTGCCTCGGAAACCCAAGGAGGGGTCGCTATGAGTCGGGTCCGACTCGACAGCACATAACAACAACAACAACAACAATCTCTACAGAAGCAGAATGCTGCATATTTCTCCCATTGAGCAGCTGGTGAGTTCAAACCACTGACTTTTGGTTAGCAGCCGAGTGCTTAACCACTGCGCCACCAGAACCCCTCTTTTAGTATTAAGATCATTGAAATGATCAAGAGTTGTACTGTACTTTCTCTTATTCCAATTGAGAAAGAAAATCGTTGATGTGCAACTAGATCTCTGATTGTAACTCTGTAAAAAAAGACAATGTCACATTAGAGAAATCTGAGAGATAACATCATAGTTTTGCTGTTAGCTGCAGACATTTAACCATTGCCTCCCAATTTCCATTATTCTCCTTTTTCTCCTTCTCAAGTACAACCTTCCACATACTCTAATCCATCTGTTTTTCCTGTTTTCCAGCTGAGGTAAGCTTAGGTGTAAAATAAATAAACATTGGACAAATTAATACTAAAAGTCCAATTATTTCCTTCTCCACAGAGCAGATGGTATAGAGCCAACATTTTTTTTGGGGGGGAGGGGGTTTGTTTGTTTTACATTTAAACTACAGAGTACTGTATACTGGTATAAAAATGATTTTGAACAAAGTAATAATAATAACATTAATAATTGCTAATGGACAGTGAATGTCAGACACTATTCTAAGCTATTTAAATGGATTATTTAATTTAATTTAAATCTCACAATGATTCTGTGAGATAAATATTATTATTGTCTCCATTTTATAGATAAGTAAACTTGAGCCCAGAATTAAGTTTCAATATTGAATCCTTAAAGCTAATTCCTTCCAATATTAATTTTAACATGAAAATATAAATTTTGATTCTGTATGCCTCATGTCTGATGTTTCTTCAAACATACATGTAAAAAAAAAACAGTGATTATACCAACTTTGACTTACTCAGAGACAAAAAATAAGGGGATAATAGTATAAAGCCTCACTAATATAGAATATTAAAAAAAAAAAAAACTAGCTTAATTTACAGAAATATCTGTGGATATCGTTTGCTGTTTCTTTTTACTTACAAAGAATTAATCAATAAACATCTTTTCACCAATAACTTTCAGCTGGATCTCCTATAATACATATATAAAATTAGTTCTATAACAATATTATTGTTGTTGGTGGTGGTGGTGGTTATTCAATCAGCCCCTGGCCTCTGACTCATGGTGATCCCATGCACAATGAAACCAAACACTGCCCAGTCCTATGCCATCCTCATGATCAGACATTGTGATCCATAGTGTTTTCATTGACTGATTTTCAGATAAGCAAATTATGATGCTAACTGATTTTTAACTTGAATATAGTTTATTTTTTGTTAGAAAAATGCACTTTGCTCACCACCATTTTTCCCCTCTTTGTTATCTACTGATATTAATTGATAGGGTCTAAAGTTTTGTGAATTCCATTTGAATGAGGTTTGAATGATTTAAGTTTAGTGACATTTTTCTCTGGTTTTCAGTGAGTTACTTTCTTTATTTCTTCTTACTCTTTCCTTTAGGCACACATATACTGTGTACATATATTCAAGTGTTGGTATCTCTCTTTGGGGATTATTGCTTTTTCTTTGTTGTGTTTGGTAAAAAAAAAAAGAGGTGAATCTTTTAAATATTGATTCTTTGTGTAGTCGTTTGGATATTCTTTTCTTTTGAAATGGACCACCTTTTTGGAACTATAAACTTCTTCCCACTTAAAACTCATTAAATTCAAAGTACAGATAAATTGCAAGTTATTTCTCATTATTCAAATGAAGAATCAAAGCTATTTTAGGCTCTTTCCTTGCTCTTTTTTATTTTTTTCCCCCTAAGTGAAACCTAGTTTCCCTTCATATTACAGAGAAGTTCAGATTTGTCCACAAGTCAGAGAAAGAAGTGGAAAGGCATGCAGACCCATGTATTAGTTTCCAGGGGCTTCCATAACAAGTTACCAGCAAGTGGATGGCCTAAAATGACAAAATTTAATTGTTTATTTGTCTCATAGTTCTGGAGACTAATAGTCTGCATTCAGGGTATTGAGCAGGGCTCCTCCTCTCTCAGGAGGCTCTGGGGTTTAATCCTTTCTCTTTTTTTTTTTTTTTTTTTTTTTTATCTCAGCTTCTAGTTGCCATAGGCTTGATTTGTATGTACAGTATGACTGTTGTCTTAGGGCCATTTTCCCTCTGTCTGTCTCTCTGTATGTCTTCTCCTCTTTTATAATGACAACGCTCGTATTGGTATATGATTGTGGTAAAGTGCAAGCCACAGAGTGTGCTTAAAGAAAAAGCAGCATTTTATTGAGGGGGGAAAAAAGAAGAATTCACAAACTGGAAAACATAGAGTTGAGGAGGATATCCTCTCAATACAGTGTTCCACTGTCTCATTTGAGTTAGAGGTTTTTATATGTATATAAAGAGACATAGAGTTAAAGATTGATAGTAGATCAGAGCAGCTTCAGTTTGAAGTCCTTTGAAATGTAAATGTTGGCCTTCTGGTTAGGGGAAAAGAACCAGCCAGTTTGATTATTCTTAATGATGACATTGTAGTCAGCTCTTTGGTGGCACAGTAAGGCATTTGGCTGCTAACCAGAAGGTCAGTTGTTTAAACCCACCAGCTCCTTTGTGAGAGGAAGATGAGGCAATCTGCTACTGTAAAGATTCGCAGCCTTGGAAGCCTTATGGGGGTCACTAAGTCAGGAAACTGTTCACATATTCTTCTAAAAATGGTTTACATCCTGATCCATTAGATTAGTCATGAACATATTCTTCCTAAGAACAATTGTTTACATGTTGACTTCCTCTTCCTCAATGATTTTACATCTTGACCTTTCATTTCCTGTGAACACATTCTATCATTCTCTTTGTTGAGGTGGTTAAAATTCATTCATTCCTTTCTAAAAGTTACTTATTTATTGGTTTCAGTAAATAAAGCACAGTAGAAATTTACAGAAATGACAGGCTCTAGTTTTGAAGCAGAACATATACTAAAAATCAAAATGGAATCTGACTTTGGACAAGAATACAACCCTTTTCTACTAATCAGGTGCTTCAACTACTAATTTTAGGTGCTGTTACTCAGCACTCATGTATCTCCTATTTATGCATACCAAAAAAAACTTTGCCTTTGAGTGAATTCCAACCCATAGCCACTCAATAGGACAGAGTACAACTGTTACTTAGGGTTTTCAAGGCTATAAATTGTCACAGAAACAGACTGCCACATTTTTCTCCTACAGAGTGTCTGGTGAGTTCAAACCACTGATTTTTTGGTTAACAGTTGAGCACTAAACTAGTGTGCCACCAAGGTTCCACATGACCGCCTATTAATTTAACTGATAATATGTTCAAAGATCCTATTTCCTAACAGGATCACATTCACTGATATTGGGAGTTAGAACTTCAACATATATTTTGGGGAGGACACAATTCATTCTGTAACAACCGACTTCTCTATTACACAACTAGTGAAGTTCTTTTCCTAAGGACCTATTAACAACCCCTTGTGATTGATTTAATGTCATTCTCAGTAAGATTTGGAGAATTGCAGTCTCTCAATTATGCCATTGCATGGCTTTAGGCCCCACGTATCTCTCTAGAAGAGATAGTCCCATGGTTCATTTATCCCCAGCTTCTAAGTCATAGAATGAAAAGGAAAATAAAGGGAGTGAATGCTTTAGGTCTCTGACCTTCAGCTTGATTTTTAACACTCAAT